ATTATAATTATAATTTAGATAATTAATATTTTATATAAAAAAATAACAATACTAATCATTGCAATATATTATTTTGTCCATAATTATATTATAAAACCTTTTTTTTCCAACGAGTATTTATCTTTTGTTTTGTTTTTTTTTTTTAATTGAGTTAGTTATAGATTGCAAATTTGAACTTTCTCCTTAAAATTAATTATCACCTATCATTAATAGCAAAAAAAAAAATAAAAAAATTATGTGTTAAATTTTTAATTAAAAAATTTATTAATTATGAATAAAAATATATTATTTTATATTTTATTCATTTTAACCCCATTCAATATTAGAAGAAATCAAGTAAATATTATTTTGCCTTCTTATATTCTCTCCGCTAACAGTTACATTATTTTATTCTTTTTAGCTCATTTTGTACTCTTCTTCTTCTTCTTCTTCTTCAAGTTTTTAATAAGTTAGAGTATTACTCTATCAAAAATATGAATTAATAGTCGAAAAGATTTGAACATAGTGAATTGCAAATACTTTTCTTATTTCTTCTAAACTTTTCTAGCATTACAACAAGCATATTAAAGTGAGGACAGGATTATCAATTTCTTCAGTCGGATTATATGGTTCTAACTCTTACCTTTATTTAAAATTTATCAACATATTACTTATAGAATTATGTTAACAATTCGTATAATATTTTCCTCAGTGAAGGATGTCTTTCAACGTTAACTTGATAAATTTTTACCTAAAACTAATGACGGAAGGAAAAAATTTGAAGAGATCATTTATTAAATAAGTAACAATTTTCATCTAAAAAATATAAGAAAAATAAATTTTAAGTTAATATATAAAAAGTTTGTTTAGATTTTAGGTCTCTAATTAAAATTTTAATATAGACCTTTAATTATGTTAACCCGTCCCTAAATTATGAATATATATATATATATATTAAGAATCATAGTAACTAATAATTTAAAATATATATTTAAAAACATTAGTTAAAAGAACTCTTGACTCATGAAATAGTAATTATATCACGTAAAATAAAATATTAATATTATAATTTAGACATAATAAATATTATAATCTAGACAAATATTACGAAGATAAAGATAATAAGGAGGGTGAGGGTGGGGCTGGGGCCAAGGTTAGGAGTTGCGGCAGGAGCAGGGAAGAGATGGGAGGTGAGTATTTATTTGATTATTGAGGATGTGAGGCAAACAATCAATATGCTAGACCACTTAGAGAATATTTTTCATTCTTTTTGAAAAGTCATTTTCTTAAGTTCAAAGTTTTTAGAGAATATTTTTCATTCTTCTCATTTAAGTATAAAATGATTTTACCAACATGATCTTGAGTTATGGTATAGTAGTAAAACTATTTCACCTCTAATTAGAGGGTTTGAATTTTGGATATGAAGGAAATATCTGTTAGGAGTGTCACTCCCGAATGAACCTTGCAATGCGCAATTCAAATTTAATCGGGCCTTCAATGTGGGCTTCAAATACTGATGGTGAAACTAAAAAACCTTCCAACCTCATTTTTTTTTAAAAGTAGGGCAAACATAATTAAACTCACCTCACCCAATTGTTAAGTTCTCGTGGATTATTGAGTCATTCATTTATTAGTTCAATTCATTAGAAATTAAGTTGATTATGTAGTTTAAATTGACTTTTGAGAAATCTTAACAAAATATTTTTAAAAAGACATTATGTTTATTTGATACGTTATATAGCCATAATAAAGAATTTTATTTTTATTAAATACAAGAAATTATAAAAGAGCAAATAAAACAATTGTCCTCTTAAAACTTAGTAAGAATTGTATTGATTGGGATATGCCCCATATCATTTCAATCCAAAATCCAAATACATTTGAATGAATCAATAGTTCGCTCATTTATTAATTCAATCAAATTTAATTATTCATCAACATGGATTGTGATGTATCGATAGAATTATTTCATCCTTAATCAAAGATCTCGATTTTGAGCTTTAGATATAGAAAAAATCATGTTAAAAGTGTCATCACTAAATGAGCCCGAATTTAATCAAGGCTTTTATGTGGCTCCTAACACCCATCATGTGAGTTTTACGAATTGTCAGTGTCTCGGTTCCGACAACATGGTCCACTGATACATTAATATCCTCTTTGTTGGTCATGTTGGCAATAATTTTATTTTTTTTCTAAAAAAAGCCTTCGATGGGTGTTATAAGAAAAAGGAAGCTTTCGTAAATAACTATTATAATAAATTTAATTATGCTTCATAGCTATAGTTTGTATATTTACGGGTTGTAGCTATAATTAAACTGTCTCGTTTGTATAGTTCGCGTATTTGTAAAATTCGCAGGTTTGTAGAATTCGCGAGTACATTTATATAATTCAGTTATTTTTGTATAAACTCGAAATAAGAATGTATACAATTACAAACATCAGAAGTGTAAACAACTATACAAATTATATTATACAAATTCTGAATTATACAAATTCTGAATTATACAAATGTGTGAATTATACAAAACTAAAAAGTTGAGCCACGTAATTATAGCTAAAAGTAGATCGTGAATTGTAATTAAGGCAAACTATAACTATATTAACTAATTGACTAGTATATATTTGCTTTTACGCATAATTTTCCCATATAAAATTTCCTTTAGATTTATAAAGTTATATAAATATCATTTCTTTGACATATTCAATATCATAAATTTCAAAAAGACTATAATCATATAAATATTCTAATACATTTTAACTTTATTTTTTAAAAAAAGAAGTATTTTATTTAAAAAATAAATTGTCTCAATTTATATAAGTTAAAATTTCCTTTTTAGTCCGTCTAAAAAGAATGATATATTTGTTTTAAAATACCCACTTTATCTTTATTTTAGACCATAAATTTATAATATTTAAACTTTATGTCAAGTCAAATTAAGTCATATAAATTAAATGGAAGAATAATAAATTATAAGGTGAGAACTTTTTTTGGTCATATTGCATTGTAAAATTTGAAAACAATAATTTTTGTTTTCAAAGTGAAAAAATGATATTTGAAATTTTAAAAAAATAAAAAAAATCTCATGCTGGGACGCCTATACATGTTAATTCTATCCCTAGTTACATTTTGTATTTGGTATATCACAAAACTGCTATGTACAGTTTGTAGGTCCTTGATGCAGTCCCGTGCTTGTTTTCTCAGTAGACTTGTTTACAGTGTTTTTGAATTGGTATAACTAGGTCTGATTGTTTAGTGACCTTTTATTAACATGATTTTTTAACAGGAATAAATACAAAAAAAGACGGCTAGGCCTTATCTTATCCGTCTAATAGATTGCTTGTCTAAAGTAACTTAGAGTATTTTTTTTCTTGTCATATTCTTCAATTCTTTCTAACAACATTTGATGATTCATCACTTCTTTTTAGATTTATTGAATCTTGTTAAATCTATTGACACTGTCATATGATTTTGCTTTGTCAGTCACATCGTTAGTTGTCTTAGAACAAACTCTTCAGTCACTTTACCATCCCAACTGTGTTGCCTACCATGTGTCTTAGCTTCTTTTTTACTTTTGTTACTTTCACTAATTTAATGCATAGGTGAGATATCTCCATCCCTAATTACTTTATCAAAACATACGTCTATTATATTATCTTCCTCATCCCAATTATTTACGGAACCGTTGATTGATCGATCAATTGTTTACAGTACCGTTGATTGATATATTTTAATGCCCATCCATCCATATAGTGTTTCCCATTGCGCCAATTCTGGTATGAAGTCTATCTTGAATAAGTGATATTTTAAAACATAACATGTTATTATAAGTTATTTTGAAGTTTTGATAATTTAATAAACTATGAGATTTAATAGGGGACTTGATTCCACGAGAGATGATATTGTAAGTTACATGAAAAGAATAGCTACAAAAAACCGCAACCACTGCCACTGCTGCAATGGTATTGCTCCAAGGTTTTTGTCCATCTTATAATAGTCTCTTCACAAATGACATAACCTAGGTTTTTACATTCTAGAAGAATCACACAGCAAAAGTCATTCTCCGAAGAAATATTTCTCCTAGACAACGAGGGACTTGATAAAGTTATCATTCGTTCTTAGTTGTTATTTGAGATTATATTTATGTGCTTATTCATTGTAAGGTCTATTTCTAAGTTTTAAATGAATTAGTCGAATCTTTCTTCATTATTCTGAGCTGTAGCTAGAGTTAGATATGTCATGTTCTTGCATTCTATAGTGATGGGAAAGAAATTAAGAGTTTAATTCCTAGGTTACAAGAATTCGTAATCTGAATCTTAGCTCTTTGAACTTAATGGAGAAGTTGAAATTCTGTGAAACAGGTTGTGGTTTTCTCCTTCCACATAAACTCTTGTGTTCTTTATTTTTAAGTTTTTACTTTCCACACTGTTTTATTGTGTCAAGACACATGATCCATTAACTAATAGTAAACACATATATTTCATCATAACACTTATAAAATATTTATTTTTTTACTTATCTGGGGTCAATGATTCCTCGGATATTATCAAACTAAAAATATTATATAATATGAATCGCAGGGATAACACAACCACAATGATTTGTTTTATGAACAGTTATAATATTTCCAGCCCAAATGAGGTAGTGCCTAATGTCACCGAGAGCGAGTTGGTAGGAGGGCCTGAGATATCGTCTAACGTTTGGTGAACAGTCAATTGAATATATTGTCTTTTTCTTTCCTTATGGTGTGGACGTGTGTAATTAGTCTCACCACAAATTTTTATATGATAAGAAACGCTAGGGTACTGCGCATTGTGCGAAGAATAATCGAATTTTATTTATAACAAAATCTCATGTGTTTGACGTTTTGCTCCCTCTCTATAAATAGGCTCAATTTATGAATTTTGTGTTAAATTCAGATGAAAAGAGCTAGCTATAATTGTTTTGTTAATTACATATATATATATAAAAAAAAATTCTCCTTTTTAAAAAGATAATTTTAATCAAGAGATGGTGAGAACACCTTGCTACGACGAAAATGGAAGGAAGAAAGGGACTTGGACACTTGAAGAAGATAAGAAATTAGCAGCTTATATTACTAAATATGGCTCATGGAACTGGCGACAACTTCCCAAGTATGCTGGTGAGAATATATATATATATATATATATATATACGGAGTTAGTATTTGATGTTTATGAATTTAGAATTAAATCGTAGTTTGTTAAAGTTATTATGATCAAGAAAATCGAACACTATCTTTTGTTTTAAAAAAATACGAGTTGAATATCTTGATTCCATCTCTAAGTTTCATTATAATTATCATTATCGTTTTAGAATTAAAATTGAATGATTATTGTTGCTTGTGAAGGTCTAGCAAGGTGTGGAAAAAGTTGCAGACTTCGATGGATAAATCACTTAAGGCCAAATGTTAAAAGAGGAAACTATACCAAAGAAGAAGATGAAATCATCTTGAACCTCCATGCTCAACTTGGAAATAAGTACGTATATTTCTTCCACATTCCCAATTTTTACGAGCTAACATTTACCTAGTCGAGCAGAGAAGACAAGTTCAGAATTTAAAATTTTCAGTATTGTGTCACAGATAGGTGTACTTAGGTCGGTTTGATATTTATTTCATTTACCAAACTAAATTAACTATGTTGGTTTTTTAAATTTACAAGTTAAACCAACAAGGAGTGGATTTTTCGATCTAACCTCCTTTCTTTTCTTTTTTTTTTGCAAATTTGCAACATGGTGCCTAGGGTTAAGCTTTTATTAATAAGTATAAAAATAAAAGGACCTCAAAGAGATAATTGCAAGCAAAAGAGAGTTAGGTCTTACTCTAATAATTCTATTAAAGCAACAAACCCTACAAATTAACAAGCATTTTCGATTTGTTTTGGTTTTCATATGGGTTTTTTCTCTCGATAAAGCCTCTGCAACATAAAACACGTAACTAATGCTTCTAAATATATCTTTATTTGTCCTAGTAAAATATACAAGAATTACATGGCACTTACGGAAAAGAAAAAAAAATTGAAGCCATGTTATTATGGTCAAAGGAAAATTCGGTATGATACATTAGATCCGACTTGGTTATTAATAGAGTGAACAATAAAGATAATGAAAACTCAGAATAGAAGTATTGTTAGTAAGAGATAATGAAAATGAACAAGATGTGTTTTAATCTAATTTCTCTTAATTTTTAACTATGTAGCATAAAAAGTATTCATGGGGAGATCCCTTTTGTTAGTATATATTTAAACTCCATGTCAATTGCAAAATTTGGTATCAAGCTACATAGTTATGAGAATATGTCTATAACTTTCTATCTTGTTTCGAGAGGTTATGCATCATATTCCTCTTGCTCTTATATAAGGTAGGGGACATGTCTAACCTCTCATTCTAAAAACGACTTTTGATTTTTTAAAAATGAATATGATTTGATATGAACTTTATTAGTACTTGATTTATGAGCTATAATTCTATAAAGACATTTTGTACCATGAAAAAATATAAGTTCAAATTCAAAAGTAATATGTAAAAAAACATGAATTAAGAAAGTTTGACAAAAACTTACAAATTACATTATATTAAATTTATAAAATTTGTAAAAATATATTGTAAGTAATTAGTTTGTTTCGTTTTGTACTTGATTTATTAAATTTCTTTAATGTGACAAAAATAAATTCATAGCACTATTACTTTTGTACTTAGCTAGTGAAAAGTTTAGTAATCACAAATGAAATTATGATTGCAGGTGGTCAACGATTGCTGCTCACTTGCCAGAAAGATCAGACAATGAAATAAAGAATCATTGGCACACAACACTTAAAAAGCGCGCTACTAATTATAATAATAAGAATAATATTGAAAGCGATACTGGAAGAAAGATCACTAGTGTGGAAAATCAAAATGCAAGTGCTAATAATAATAATAATATGCATGAAAATATAGTATTGGAAAGTTCAGAATGGTCACCAAAGGAGTCATCAAGTGAAGCATTATCCTCTATTGATTATCAACAAGACATTTTTCAAGAAGAATTAGCTAATTTGGAGGAAATTACAAGTGGAAGTTTTTGGACAGAACCATTTGAAGTGGATAGTCAAAATGATTTTGTAGCTCCTTCAATTGATTATTGTGGACTTGTCTGTCCACCTTCTCCTTTTATACCTCATGAATTTCCTTCCTCCTTTGATCTAGATCATTATAATTATAATTGGTAAAAGCTAAGGAAAAAAACATCAATAGATTTATCTTATATGATCATCACATTTTTGTTTGAATGTTTTGGAGATGTATTGATAAATTCTCATTTAGTTCTTGTATTATCTGACAAAATATATTTAAACTTTAATCTATATCGAAACATAATCTTTGATCCTTTGTTGGTAAATTTTACAAATTTATCAGAATTATTAATTGTTCCACGATTTAGTTGTGTTAAAATTATATTGTTATTTCATATCGAAAAGTAATATCGTTTCAAAAAGTAATTAAAATATACTCAATATTTAGTGCATATAAAGATAGACGAATGCATATTTTTAATTAATTACAGTAAAAAGTTTTATATGTTGAGTCATATATATACAACAAAAATCAAAATAAGTATTTACAAAATACCTAAGGGACAAAAGGGATATGATCAGTTATCACCCCTAAAGTCAAATATGTAACATTCTGATTTCTGTCTTATATAAATTATTCATTTACCGACTATCTGAGTTGTGGTGTAGTGGGACTGTTTCATCATTAATTAATTAAAGGTCTCAAATTTAAGTCTTGAGTATGAAAAAAATCATGTTAGGAGTATCATTCCCGAATGGGCTTTATAGTGCGTGACTCAAATTTAGTCGAAACTTTAATGTGGGCTCCAAACACTAAATATAAAACAAAAAAATAATAATAATTCATTCTTGTTACCTGACACCTCACATGATTCCATGCAATATAGTACAAACAAAATGAACTTTCATGTTATTTCATATTCCTAATGAGGACAACATCTGTTTATCTCATTGTCTCCTTCTCTTATCATTCCTCAAGTGAATTTTGTGGCCAATGTAAAGTGTCGGATATTGATATTGTTGGACACATTTGTGTTAACTAATTATATAGATTTCTAGATTTTTTTTATTTTTTTTTAGACTAGATCCCTAAGAGTAAATTAAAAAAAAAAAATGGGAAAAAGGATAAATATACCACTGAACTATCGTAAATGGTATGTAGATACCCTACATCATACTTTTTGAACATTGGTGCCCATGCCATCCAAAAACTAGAGCATAAATGCCCTTCACTCTAACGACAGGCGAAATAGGGACACGTCGCGCAATCTTATCCGTCGATTGATATTTAATAAATATCAGGTCGGTAGATAAGATTACGACATGTGTGCGCCCGTTAGTATAAAGGGTATATATGCTCTAGTTTTTGGACGGCAGGGACATCAATGTCCCAAAAGCATGACGGAGGGCATCTGCATACCATTTACAATAGTTCGGGAGTATATTTGTCCTTTTTCCAAAAAAAAAAAACATAGTAAAATACGTATGAAGTCTAACCACATCGAAAGAGACCAAGGAATTTTGAGTACTTTCGACTTCAACGTGCCTTAGACCCTTGGCTTCAGCTATGATGCTCGAGTTTGGCTTAAGAGATTTTACGAAAGTGTGAGTGTATTATATTAAGGATGTGTTTGATATGGAGAAAAATATTTTCAAAAAATTGTTACTTCTGTTTTGACGTTCAAATAATAATAGATATATGAATTAAATAGTGGGTTTGTGATTCAACAAATCAATCAGCTAATGTCTATGCTTTTAAATATTGAATTTACTTATTTTAACACTAAATAGAACTTGAACAGAACCTAAGTTTTTCTATAGAGAATTTCAGGCCCAAGCTCTCTGTGGTTCAAGCCCAATACAAATCATTTCATCAAACTTAATGTGGATGGCTGCTTCAAAGGCGACAGTCCAATTTGGTGAAGCCACGTATACTTGAGGGGTGTTGACCAACGTACCTTTATTGAAAAATTACACTATTAAAAATATGTTTTTATGTGTATGTATCACATATTGACACAATGACATTCCTCGATCTCTATGTGATTTTAGACCCTCAGTCGAAATTCTAGTTCTGCCAGACCAAATAATGGTAAAGAAAGAAATAAAAATTCCTTGTAGAGGAAATCTTTTTCGAGCTTGGTTTTATTGCGTGCTCAATATGTACCTTTACATATGTTTATAGGAATTCATTTGGTATTACAAGTATGAAGTATTAATTTGTTCTTTTGTTATTAATTTTTAGCAAATATTATATCTCAAGTAATTACTATTCCGGATAAAATAAATTTTACCTAAATAGTAGAAAATAATCTTTTTTTTTTTATTTAGATAAGTTATTGACAAGGATAATTAACAGAGAATTAAGCATTTAATCCTTTCAAAAACTCGAGCTGGGAAGAGAGGACATGAGGGTATCATATCTAATGACTCTCTCTTCTTTTGTTTTTGATTTTTCAATCTTACCATTTAGTAGAGATTTTAATCATAATAATAGAGAATAAAGTCACAAATAATAATAATAATAATAATAATAAAAAAAAAATAAAAAAAAAAATCCAACCTTTGAAACTCAGAAATAACTTGAGCAAAAAGTGTTCATATAACACACTTTTCTTTCTTGATCTTGATCTGTTGCAAAAATGATGATACACATTTTTTTAAAAATAATTAATTTTATAATTTTCATTTTACATTCATAAGAAAATTGATATGATCATGCAAATGTTATAGCATGTGTAATCTTAAAAGTTTCAAAAAATTTATCATCATACAAATGCTACCTATGATATATTTAAAAATCTTTATTTCTTTCTTAAATCTAAATAACCTCAAGCGCTACGTTACATAAATTAAAAAGGAGGAATGCTTATAAATGGCTAAAACAGTCTAATGTTTTATGATTTTATTTTTCTTCTCTTTATTTTTTTCAACATAGGTGTGGTTTCGTTTCTTGTAGACTTTCACTACAAGTGTAATGAATATTGGTCCAAGTCCAATCTTATAAGAAAAACGAGTTGAAATGTGCTGCTCATTTTAGCCTGCCAAAATTAAATAAATAAAAAAAA